TGACAATGACAATGACAATGACAATGACAATGACAATGACAATGACAATGACAATCGCTAATAATAAAGCAAATGATCAATTGCTAAATTGACTCACCTGAAATATGGTGTATGCCACACAGGTGAGCGGACGATTGCAGCTCAGCTCGCCAATTTTGAATATCTCAATGCCCCACGTATCAAGCTCACCAAGTAGAGTTCCCAGCTCATTCTCTCTGGGAGTCTCCACGCCGAACGTGGGCAAGCGCTCCCCGGTGAAACTGTTCGTGTGCGACAGGGGCCGTTTCACGCCGCTGATCTGTGACATGGGCGGACCACGCGGCGATCGACTACGCTGATACGGCTGCTGCTGAGTGGTGGTCTGTAAGTTCGAGTGATCCGGGTTCTCTTCGACGCGCAATGATGGCAAATCGAACTCTTGCTGCTTGTCTGCAATGCCAAAAACAATGCCAAATGAGTATATTATTTATACATTATATATACGTCATGTTGCCCTTCGGCAACGCTCAACTCTCCATAAATATGCAGATGCCTGTTCATATATTCAACAATCCGAAATGCATTGTCTACTTTGGGGCGTAACGTGTTTTTCCATGCAACAATTGCAAATTGCCTGTGCATACAATGAGATTTATTTAAATTTTAAATGACCCTGTAGACAATGAAAGCCATAAATACGTTTCAGTACGTGCCGACACATACCCTGCTTTGGCTGATAGATGTTCGAGTTTATTTCTGTGCAGCGTTGACACTTGAGCTCAGCCATTTTGAATGACCATAAAGTACCTACTCTGTCTTTCGTGACGTATCGACTTACAACGAACTTACTTTTCATCAATATATCCTTACAAAATATACCCTTGCATAGTATAAAAAGTCCATACAAGTTCTTACGTAATAAACCCTTACGTAATACGCTCTAACGTAATAAGCCCCTACGTAATAGGCCCTTACGTAATAAGCTCTTACGTAATAAGCCTTTACGTATTAGGACCTTAGGAAATAAGCCCTTACGTAATAAGCCCTTACGTAATAAGCCCTTACGTAATAAGCTCTTACGTAATAGACCCTTACGAAATAAGCTCTTACGTAATAAGCCCTTACGTAATAGACCCTTACGAAATAAGCTCTTACGTAATAAGCCCTTACGTAATAGGCTCTTACGTAATAGGATCTTACGTAATAAGGCCTTACATAATGGGCCCTTACGTAATACGCTCTTACGTAATAGGCCCTTACGTAATAAGCCCTTACGTAATAAGGCCTTCGGTAAAAGGCCCTTACGTAATGAGGCCTTAGGTAAAACGCTCTTACGAATTAACCCTTAAGTTAAAACACTAACGTAAAAACCCTTACGTAATAAGCCTTTACGTAATATGAGTCTACGGAATAATAACCCCTTAAGTTAAAACACTAACGTAAAAACCCTTACGTAATAAGCCTTTACGTAATATGAGTCTACGGAATAATAGCCCCTTGCGTTGAAACCTCGTACGTTGTATGAAATATACTCTTATATATTGAACTGGCATCTACATAATACAAATATTAATAAGTACTGTAACATACTTTAACATTACTAAATATATTCTTACGTGGTTAATTTTACGTATTCCACTGTTACGTAATGTATTTTACGCGACATGTATTACGCAATATATTATTACGTAGTATAGTCCAAAGTAATGTGTCCTCACGTTAGTTTACTGTGTGTGGTTGTACCCTTCACGTTTATATACGCTTACGTTACGTTAATATAACACTAGGATACTTAGTTCTACTTTAATACATATTTGCGAATTTATTTTATTTTTTTTAAGTTTTCTACATTAATGTACACTTCAAGTTCCCTCTCTGCCTATATAATATAATATACGCCCTAATAGCCTCTACTCCCAGGGTATAGTTTTTGAAATATTCAATGCGCAAAGCTCTAATGCAGAGACTGCGAGCAAGAGTTAATTAGAAAAAGTTGTGAATTGATATCAAATGTATGTGCATAAATATTAGATGTATGCCCTTTTATTAGGCAGTCCAATAGACAGCTAACAGTAAATATGTGCATAGAAGAGCCAACAGATCTGAAATGGTTTCCGCAGCGCAAGGGCTTAGTTAATATTTCAGTTAGAGCAAGCAGCACTCATTCAGCCAAGCTGAGCCGCGTTAGGGGCTATGTTTATTTATGCCCAAGGGCTTCAACTGTTTTTAATACACATTTAATGCCAGTCGAGTCAGATTGAATTTAAAGGCTTTTCAGCACACACACACACACACACACACATACACATACAAAGTTCACTATGCCGAACTAAAATGAAAATAAATAAATAAAGTTGCTGCTCGGAAGTACGAAGTAAATATTTATCTATGTTTGAGCTAGTCTATAGAGTATTTCCATGTCGTTGTTGTTGTCTAGCGCCAACTCTTTAAAATGCACATAGAAAACAAATATGCACACGTACATACACACACACACACGCACGCACACCAGCACATATGCCCATATAGAGCCTGGCACGTATCCTATCCATAACACATCGCTAACCTGCCCCACGGTTACGAGCTCGACGCAAAGCTGTCTCAGCTGCCTGCTGTTATGTTTTTTTCTTTCTTTCTGTTTTATATACATACATATATACTCTACACACACACACACAGAGAGATTCAGTGATGTGAGTGTATGCAGACATATGTACATATTTTGCATACGATTTGGTTTTGGTTTTGAGTTTTGAATCTGAAATCCGTTTCACATTTGCTTTTTTTTTATATTTGCGCTCGAGCTTAACGATTTGCCTGATTAACATATGCGACAGCCACAAGATATTTACTCCCTCTCTCTCTCCCTCTTCTGTCTGTCCCTCTCCCACACACATATGCAAATTTAATGTGAAGCCGTTTCAATTAAGCGCGAGCGCCGCACACGCATTCGCAATCGCAGCTAACGCCATGGACATTACGTATACGCACAGTCGACTTATCGACTGGGCGGACGCATTTATGTTGTCCTGGCCATGTGTGTGTGTGAGTGTGTGTGTGTGTGTGTGACTTTTAGGTTGCCTCAGTCGGCAGCCGCTTCTGTTTCAAATGAAGTGTTACAAATAGACATTAGGGCAGGCCTGTACGTGTGTGTGTGTGTGTGTGCGTATAGGTGCCAGCCATCTAGGCTTGGGTGAAATGCGATTTTATGCTTGATAAACTACAATAACAACAAAAGCAACTAGCAAAGGCTTAGGCCAAAAAATAAAATGCGCTAGTGGCCGCAAAGGTAGGCAGCACCACAACAACAACAACAACAAAGAGAGAGAGCAAAAAAATCAGTTTAGCCCTGGCCCTGCCCATTTTAGCCATTTAAGTTGAGTTCGAGCCGGGCTAAGTTCCGTTCCGTTCCGTGCCGTTTCGTTTCGTTTCAGTTCGGCTTTGGCTCAGCTCAACGAAGCAGAAATATGGACAAATGTGCAAATATGTTGCCCACCTTATGCTTGGCCACACCCACACTTTTAGGCGTCGACCCTGCCCACGCACACTTTTCTGTCTCTGTGTGTCTCTGTGTGTGTGTGTGTGTTTTTCTTCTCTGTTTTGTTTTGTGTGTAACTCTTTCGCTTTGCACTACGCGCCTTTGTTTGTGCATGTCCCGAGGCAACGTCAAACGTGGTCATAGTTTTTCCTTCTCTCTTTTTTTTTGCTGTTGCTGCTAAAAGGGGTTCGGGGCAGCTGGGGCTGAGGTGTGTGCTGGCGGGGGCCTCGCAGGTTAAACAATGAAATTTCCACTTCATCTGTTTTTATGCTGCTCTGCATAATTTAATTTTGCACTTTCAATTCGACGGATTTGGTTTAAGTCTTGTTATTCTACTTACCCCCCCACACTTTTTTACTATATTTAATTTTACTCTTCTTTTCTCACTTTCTCCCTCTCCCTCTCTCTCTCTGTGTCGTGTTTTACTTTCAGCTTTTTCATTTATGCATTGTGCAGCTCTTTTCTGTGTGGCATTGTTGCTATTCGCATATCACAAAACTTTTCGCTTTTGTTTTGCATACTTCTAATTGGATGAGTGGGGGGAAGGGGGAGCGGGGGGTTGGTCGTTGGCGGATGTGGAGCGGGTCTTGTGCTGCCCGTGGCTGGTGTTGGCACTACTTGAACTTTCCTGTGGTTAATGCAATTTTATTGCATACTTTTCTGTGTGTGTGTGTGTGTGTGTGTGTGTGTGTGTGTGTCTGTGTGTGTGTGCGTCGCTTGCTAAAAAGCAAAAGCAGCAACAAACAAAAATGTCATCAAATACAGACAATCAGCAACTCGAGCTGACTGAAATGCAAACGAATTTTTCAAGATATCTATATACCAAATATATATAAATATTGATCCGTATATGTATTTCTGCTGTCCATTATTTAGCTATGGATTCATTTCTATATATACACTATATGTGTCTCTGTACCCCTAAGCCTTGAAAAATCTCACTTTAACCCGGTTTTTCCTGGTTGTTCAAAGACAAGTCCTGCAAGTTAAGATATATTTCTCAGTGAAAATCTCCTATCTATTCTACCTAATATTGCCAAAGATTTTTTCCCCTTTTCAGCCAGCTTTAATAGCGATTTTTTGTTCATATTGTCGATAATCAAGGCATACTTCAATCTGTGTATAATTTTTACCTATATTTCTATAGTAATTTAGTTCTTGAAGATATACATATATTCAAATATATCGATAACAAACACTAGTTTTATGATCTGCACTTACCCAAAAATGTTGAACAAATATACTCGGATATTTGATTGCCCGATCTGCTGGACTCGCTGAAGTGTGATAGCTCCTTGTTGAGCATGCGTTTGAACTGTTCGATAAATAGAGATGGTAGATAGCATGTGATTAGTTATCGATCTGGTCTGGTAGAGTTCGTTTAGGACGCTTGAACGCACCTTTAGCGACGCCATGTCAGAGACACTGCGATGCGTTTGTATGGTCTCCAGTTGATCCAAGCACCAATCTAGTTCCTCAATGGTATCGGTGGCTAGGCGTGTGTAGGCTTCGTCGCCTTGTGCTAGTTGGACACCGCCAGCATTTCCGCCACGTCCGGATGATGATTGAGCTGGCCGCCTGGATCTTGTTTGATTAATACATGATTTCCGCACATACACACACACACACACGCACGCACACACAGAGACAGTGACAGAGTGGGAGAGGGAGAAGGCGAGGAAGGAAGTAGGGATAGACAAAGGAAGATGAAGGTTATGAGTGTGGGGGGAGGTAGACGTTGAGTGGGAATGCACGAAATAGCATAGGAATTGTTTTGATTATGAAAGGAACAGAGGGTACAAGGTACAAGGTACAAGGTACAATAACAACAACAAACGAGAGAACAAACAAAAATCGCAAAAGAGAAAAAGAAAACGAAAAAGACAAACAAGGTAAAAATTACAAGAAAATTGAATTGGAAAACGATCAAAGGGAGGGGCAAATGGGGAAAACATTGACAAAACACAATGAAATATGCAATCAAAAATTTGAAATGGAATTGTGAATTAAACAGACAGTCGGAGGCGTGAGGGGGGAACCAAAGGAAGTAATGCATAAGTAATAGATTTTTTTATTGTTATTACAAACATTTTTTTCCGATTTTTTTTTGTTAACAATCACACACAGCAAGAAATACACGTGTTTTACAACATTGAGAGTTGGGAATTATTATTATTATTTTTTTGTTTTTTTTTTTCATTAAAACAACAACAATAAAACAACAATTAAATGTCGTTAGAGTCGAGCGAGCGAGACAGATATAAACACATATATTAAACATAAATATATATTTATATATATATATTCATATACAAAAGAGAAAGAGAGAGAACGAGAAAGAGAGAGAGAGAGAAAAAAAAACATGAACAAAATTGAATTGCAGAATTTGTGGTTGGTTTTTGGTTTTTTTTTTTTGTTTTTTTTTTTTCTGTACAACATTTAATAAAAAATTATCGATTAGCTTAAGATTTAATTGGCATACTCCAGGGGTTTACTTATGTGACTTAGCCAGTTGGGGGGTTGGGGTGGAGTTCTTGGGGGGAGTGTTGTTAGTAACGCCCATCGGCGTTCTCATTCAAACACACATTTAGATACTTGGATATTAGTGCCGATAAGCAACAGCAACAACAACAAGGACAACGACAACAACAACATCTCAAAGAGACATTTTTGGGATTCCAAGCAGAGATCGCCACTCCCTTAGCCGCCCACCCCCCGTGCGTGTTGGCTCGATGATTGCGTCCAGTTCAATAGAACTGACAATTTTCTAAATTTGAGTTCCGTCATATTCGATGGAAAAATTATAAATAACAGAATGTATGGTACGGTTTTTATATGCGGTATTTTTGGCACGTCAACACGATGCCACACACACAGAGAGAGAGAGAGAGAGAGAGAGAGAGAGAACATTCACAAACCGTTGTCCCGATGCCCCATTGCCTCCGCCCACCGCCCACCGCCACCCACCTAGCTCTGTGGTTTGTTTCTTCACATCATTGTCGTCATTTCTGTTTAAGTGGGTCTTTATTCATTTGCCTTTGTCTCTGTGTGCGTGTGTGTGCACACACACCCACATACACATATGCATACAGACGAAATTATTGTTAGTCGGAAAAGTAGATGAATGCCTAATGTTTCTGTTGTTGTTGTTGTTGTTCAGATTCTGATTGCTGTTGCTGTTGTTGTTGTTGTTGTTGTTGCCACTTGATTAATTAAAGTGTGAGATGACAATAAGATATTGAGAGAGCACACACAAAGATAGAGAGCGAGCGAGGGACATCGACAGGCAGCAAGACAAAGAGAATCAGATAAGGCCAAAACTTAGAGAGAGGGAGAGGGGAGAGAGCGAGAGAGACAGAGACAGAGAGAGAGAGAGAGAGAGAGAGCAGGAGTGGAAGAGAGTGAGATATATATATATAAATGAGCACGCTGGATTAGGGGAGCAAACGTAACAAAGTGGAGGGAGAGAGTTGCTATTTGGGATAATTTGGAGTCAGGTTTTTCGAAGAATGAAAAGAACGAATCCTCTTTGCTTGTTTTGTCATGGATCGCGGGGGCCACAAGCTTTAATCATTTCGTGTAATGACTTTTTCATGTATGTTCATATGGATGGATAGAATGGGGCATGTGGGCGTGTCAAGGTCACAATCGACTTACTTGTTTGATGCTGGTACATTTGTCAGACTTAATAAATTGTTGCGCACTGAACGTAAGCTGGCTAAAATTTGGGCAAACGGCGTTACAATGAGATCCTCGCCATGGCTGCAAAAGAAAGAGAGAGAGAGAGAGTTGGATAAGTATATGAGCGATTGGTAAACGGCGGAGGCATAGAGAGATACATCCATGCCAAAGAAATTATACATATATAGGTCAAGAGAATAGCGAATAATAGCACAGCTCGCGATGATAATCTGAGTAATGCATGTTACATAGATGAATGAGATAAGAAATGAGAAGATTACTCAAGCGAATAGGTCGTTGATACCTTGGGTAATGAGCAAAAGCAGTTAGAAGTAACAAAAGCAGAGAATGCTAGAATTAAATAATAGAAATATGTAATATAAGCATATAATATGTTGGGAGAGTGTAGCGCGTAGCGATTGACAGAAGCAGGGAGTGATCGAAGTAACGAATGGTATACATAGCTTATGGGATATGAAAGTAACGAGTAACAGAAATGATGCATGGTATATGTAACGAGCAAACTAAGTAAAGAGTATTAATAATCTAAAGAAGAAGAAGAAACGAGTCAAAGAAAAGCGAGTCAAAAAGAAGCGAGTAATCAAAGTGAGTAAAACTGTCGAGTAAAATAAGTAACGAGTGATCACAATATAGAAAAGAAGCGAGTCAAAGACAAGCGCGTAGCAGAAGTGACGAAGCAACGAATGATGTAAATTGGAATGAATAATGAGCCCAAGAATAAGTGAATAAAAGAATTTACATAAATAAAGATAAGCAACGGATAACTTGAATATAAAAACAAAAACATTATACCCTGATTTCCCATTTTCAATGGGTTCAGGGTATAAAAAGATAAATATCGAGTACTATAACTAACTTATGTATAGAGTAGCAAGAATACCAAGTAACATATCTATAGATATACATAAATACGGATCAGCTGAAAATGCAAGTAGCAAATATATGGTATATATGTAAGTAAGGAGTATACAGTATAAGACTAAAGGTCAACAAAGGTCAACAGTGATGCTCCCTAGCTAACAATCTTCAAACACTTCTGGTATCATTGCTTTGGCCACACTCGACTCAGAGTTCCTTTAACGTTTACCGTTTGCTGTAACTCCGCGCCCGAGTTATTAATCTCAATAGACACGCTATCGCAAGCATCGAGTAATCCTCTCCCATTAAGTACAAGCGTAAACAGAATTTGAAATCGAATAGCGCATAAATTAGATGCTAAACTTCTCTGTTTTAATTCCCATTATCTTCTAATACGCACATATGTATATTTTTTTTTTATAAATTTTTTTCTTAATTTTGTATAAATTTTTATTTGTTTTAATATACAAAAATGATGAGCTGATTTAAATTGAAATGCCTATGTGCTTAACCCAATTGGCTGGCAAATCAACTGGAATGCTCGCCGGTGCCTTAACGCCCGGTAGCATTCGATGATATGAAACTCAGGTGCCCAAAATGAGGGTCGCCAGCCAGCCCGGCCGGCCGCAAAAGGTCAGCGCGCCTTGGCCACGAATAGATTTGGCAAAAAAAAAAAAAAAATTAAAATTAAAACAAAAAGAGATAGAGAAAGAGAAACAAAGGGAAAGGAAAGTCGGTGAATCATGGCACAAAGGACGACGTTCAAGAACTTGATGCAGGTTGGCTCGACCATTTTATAGATATGCGGAACGCAAAGCGACGCACACAGTTTGTGGAAACGTTTCTGGTGGCACACGAGCCACTTGGCTTGAAATATTTGTGCCGAAAATAAATATTAAATGGCCAAAAAAAAAAGGCAAAATTAAAAAAGAATATAAAAAAAAATATCATAATAAGTAGACGAGCACGAAGACGTTGTCGTTTGCGTTGACAAACAAAAAACGGCATAAATTAAAATTAATAAAATAAAATATTAAAAAAAACTGTGGAGCAGAGAGAAGGAGAGAGAGAGAGAAAGAGAGAGAGAGAGAAAGAGAGAGAGAGAGAGGGAGAGAGCAACGGAGAGAACAGCAAATAAAGATGCAGGAAAAAATTTAAAATAAACAAAAATAAAGTTCTTGGCCCATTAGTGACGTCACGGCGTTGGCGACGTTGGCGGCGCCAATATTTAAATTTCAGTTTTTATTTTTATTATATGTATAAAAATATATAATAATATATACATAAATATACCCTGTAGTCGTAAAATGGCAATAAAAAGGTGTATTTATAGACTGTACAACTGCGAAAACTAAAATGGGTATTGCCACTTAGCAGCCACTAGACATGTGTGGTCAGGGCCTATAGAGATGGTCATATATGGGCATAGGAGTTTGGAATTTAATTAAGATCGTATGGTACATATGCACAATAGGAGTTGATACTATCCAATATTCGACATAATACTAAAGTGGGTGATACTGGGAAAGGTTCCATAAGTGAAGATAACAGTACTATTGATAGCTTTATTTAGCCAAAAGCTGTCATAATAGATGCTATCACTAGTTCTATGTTTGTCGTTATCGATAAATCGATTGAGAGTCGATAAGGGCTAATATATGTAAGCCTATCGATACGTCTATATGCTATAAGTTTCCGGATATATCGATATACTATCAATTCTAAATACAATCGATATAATCGAAGGATATTAATTCTATAATGACAACTATCTACTACATAATATTATCGATAGGCCATAGTTAAATCCATATATATTTAGATGAAGTTAGGATAGTATAGCGATAGAACAATAGCTTCACTTATGAAACCTTTTATAGTGTAAGCGATTGACAATTTGTGGCCCATTATAGCTCCATATGTTCCATTAAGTCATCGTACATGTATATAATATGATAAGTATATATTGTAAATCAAAGTAAATGCTTAGAAAATATATTTCATATGCATTTCATGTGCTTCCCTAAATGTTTCACAGAACTTTTTATCAAAAAACTATGAAAACATGAAAACATAAAAGTTATTTTGAAGCCCTGTTACTAGGTAAGTCCAAGCCATGCCAAATTTGTACAGCTTTTCTATTTTTATAGACTTTATAATTATACATATATATACATATATGCTTGTACATATATGTATGTGAATGTGTGTATGTATGTCTATCATAGCTATTTCAGCTTTAAAGCCAATTGGCTGGCAATGAAATTGCTTGGAAATATTGAAATATTCATAAAAGATTTTGCGACTGTTTCACAAAATGTTCAATGTTCAATGCGGCTAAGCGTTGCCTTCTTAAATGAAACAGCAAATATTAAATATGTACACATACATACATATATAGGCCGAGGCAGATGGGTAAGGCGACAACGATATACGATTAATGATGCCAACTCATTTACAGCCAGGTTGCCCTCGGCTCTCTCAGTCCCCTACCTCAATCTCTCTCGCTATCCACTACACTTTATCTCTCTCTCTCTCTCTCTCTCTCTCTCTCTCTTTCTCTCTGTCGGTAGCTTGCTTTGCGGTATGTTTGCCTGATTTTTGGCACGTCCCACTGCTGCAATATATCTATATCTTTCTGTGCTGGTGTGCGTGTGTGTGTGTGTGTGTGTGTCGCAACAATTGTACAAATATGTTATTGTATATTGTATGCTCTCGCATCTATCCATCCATCCGTTTGTCCATCCAAACACACACATCTAAAGTGCCTGCCATAAACAACAACATAAACAACAACAACAACATCGACAACAAGCGCCAAGCGTTGCCCATATGCAACAGCATTCATAGCAGTCCACCTCACCCATATCCACACCCGTAACTGCGGCCCTGCCCCGTGAACCCGCCCCCACCATTACACGTTCAGTTTGAACTCTTCACTTTTGGCCCCGTCGCGTCGCCAGACTATGCAGCCAGACGAAATGTTTTTGCCAGCGATTTGTCATTTGAAATCATGTCGCGCCGCTCGGTTCGCATTCGCAAATTCGCGTTTGCTCGCCTTCTTTTGAGCACTTTAGTGCGATTCTAGTTTGTTATTCGATTATAAATACTGCGACGCAGAAAGAAAAAAAAAGAAGAAAAACCACACACAAAAACAAAAGCAAACAAATGAATAAATAGGAAAACATGTCCGTGACTCATCCGGTGCGTTCTGGTCGGAGGATCTATGTAGCTAGCCGGATAGCAAACAACAAGCAACCCGAATGCCATTGCATGCAATTCCCTCCCGCAAATCATCCAGAAAGTGTTTCGACTGTGTTTGGACTGAGAGTTTGCTGTGTGCGACTATGGGCACTACAGTCTATAGCGCAGTCTTGGCTACAGTTGATCAGCATACTAATAATCGTTCATATTATTAAAGTAGCCTAATTTCAAATTATAAACTTACATTTTGAATAGTTAATAATACTATTGCTAACAATATTTAGTAATACTTTTATTTCAACTGAAGATCTGATTCAAATCAGATTATTTACTTGTTATCGTTAACATCGCTAGTGCTACATTTGAGCACTGTTGGAAAATGTGAGGCATTCACTCTTTACAAGTTATCGATAACATTTTTTTTGAACGTTGCTACTAACCATACTTTTACATAGCTATCGATCCATTTGAGTACAGCTGAACTAATTTGAAAATGTAAGCTAGTCACTCTATAAGAGTTATCGATAACATAGATATAGACATTTTAGAATGAAGCCTAACGAATTGTCATTATAAAAATTTTATAAAAAAAAAATACCCCATAGCTATCGACATATCTAGACACAGCTTAATTAAACACTCTTTAAGACTTATCGGTAAATATTGAGATATTTTCGAGCATAGCCAATGTGTGTTGTGTGTGTTGTATGGTTAGTGACTTAGTTTAAATAGTTGTCTTATTATAGTTTTATTAACTAGAACTATAACTGCACGGCCATCGATTCATTTGAACACAATACATTAAAATTAATACATTAAAATTAATACATTAAAATTAATACAATAAAATTAAAAAATTAATAAATAAATTAATACATTTAAAAATTTTAACAGTTAGTTTTAGCAGCTATCGATAACATAGAAGTAGATATTTTTGAACAAAGCTCAACTAGTTTTCAAATTAAAAATTTCAAAAAAATCATAGTTTTATTAATTAT